GGGTCGTCCTCGATGTTGCGGGCCCCGATGTGGTGGCCCAGCTGCTTTCTGTAGGCAGTTTTGTATTTGTACTGGTGGAAGGCAGAAACAGCAATTATCACCTCTTTTCAAGCTGCAATTTATATTCTCTGTTTTTAATATTGTGGTTAATCACTTTGCATCTAATAGATGCTCATTTTCTTGTTTATTTTCCCAACTTTTTAGCATTTTATATAAGGTCCCTCAAATACTATGGGATCTTTTACAGTTATATGTTATGACATTTTAAATTATTGTATTTAATTTAATTAACTTTACACCATTAAGAATTACACAGCCTTGGAGGAGGGCAGCAATATAAGAGTGGTAAAATTCTAGACCTCTCCTGCTTTTAAATATAAAACATGTTAATCCAAAAGTATATCCCCCCCCTACTATTTTTCCTGTAAGTTTTACCTCACTGGCAATGTCCCTGGATGCCTTTGCTGCCTGGAGAGGGATGGCATCAGGAGGAAGGTCATAGCCCTTCTTTTTCAGCTCTTCATATCCCACCTTGTAACGTTTCTGTTGGAAAAGGATTCAGAGGAATTATTGCAAAGACATTTTTCCACAGAGTTTTTGAACGGTACAACTTTACACCCCCTGACTATTGAAAATAAAGCTTGGGTTTCCAAACACAGCTTGATCAAATTAAATTCCACACCTTGCTATTAATTACATGTATTTTGTAACTGATTATATATATAAAAATTACTATCTGAATGTTTTCTGATACCTCATTCAAGATCAAAATTTCCTTCTACTAAATATATTAATCTGAATACTCACAGAGGTGAATAGTAGAGCCCCACGATTCTCTACACCCAATTTCAAACACAGTTATTTTTGTTTTCCTGAGCTTTCATGATAGAGCTCTTGATATTTCTTTACCTTTGCATATAGTCTGTATTTGTTCCTTTGTAGCCAGGATTTTTATGTGAACTACAGAATGTTATGTAATTCTAAAGAGGCAGTTTAATATAATCAGACATTTCCACAGGAATGACACACTTACATCACTTGTGTTAATCAAGTTTGACTTAGCCAGCAAAATTTCAGGAGTATCAGGCATGATGTGAACCTGAGTCTTGTCCTTGTTCCAAGCTTCTCTGTAGAGGATCTGAAAGATCAAACAAAAACCTTGTCTGATCCCAGATTCCCTGGCACCAGACTAATTTCAGTTTATCTTTTCCCTGCAATAGCAAAGCAAAGCTGTACTACGCAAGAATTAGGGATGTAAACAACACAGGAGATTAAAATCAAATAACACAATGACTTCTTGGTGAAATACAACCTATTTTTCATTCTTTACATCCATGTAATGCCAAGGCAACAGCATTAAGGCAATATATCTACATACTACCTAGAAAAGGTCTTATTTGTAGCTATTACTGGGTAAGTTATTCAGCACTAAAACCTTGATCTGAACAAGGCACAGTGACAACAAGCAGGGTGGCACTGACTGTAAATACCTGCTATTTGTATATTTTAAGCACACGTTTTGATATGGAGATCATTTAAAAATGTCTATTAATGTAAGCAGTCATTGAATCCCACATTCTGTCTCTAGAGGCAACTCACATCACTTCTGTTTTTGGCATTAGACTTGGCCAAAACGATATCCATGGCATCTGGGATACTCGTGAACTTGATGGTGTCTGGGTGCTGCCTGTACTTCTTCTCACTCAGGATTTCAGAAGCTTTCTTGTTCTTCTCAGCTTCCAGAGATCCCAGAGGACTCCATCCAATGCCCCTGAGCCACTGTAGATCTGACTTATACAAATTCTGTTAAGGATGAAAACCAAAGCCACAGTAGATTATTTCACTGTTCATTGATGAAAAGACTAACTGGTATTTTAGCTTCACTCTGATCTATACTGACATCAAAGAGAGTTGCCAAAGATATTTTCCAAAAAGCAGCAATTATTTTACAGGAAAATGAGTGAATTAAACTCAGAGGAAGCTTACATCACTCTGCAGTTCATTGACCCTCTTGGCCTCGGTGACATCAACCTGGTCTGGCAGACAAGTCCAGCGGTGCAGGATCCGTTTGTAGTCGATATCACTGACCAGCTCCTGACACTTCTTAGCCAGGAGGAAGCCTAACATATCCACAGGCATGTTAAACTTGGTCTTCCACTTCTCAAAATCTTTCTTGTACTCCCTGTCACTCTGCATTTTAGCTACTTGCATAGACCACAACATCTTGGGATCATCCTGCAGGCTGCGGAACCCAATGTGGTGTCCCTGCTGCTTGCGGTAACCTTCCTTGTACTTGAACTGCAATGAGAGGGATTGATCATCAGATTACAAGGGTAAAACAGCAATATATTCTCTCATTCAATTGCCATTACCAATTAATTACCCCTGGAAGTGTCCAAGGCCAGGTTGGATGGGGTTTGGAGCAACCTGGTCTAGTGAAAGGTGTCCCTGTCCATGGCAGGGGCTGGAACGGGATGAGCTTTAAGGTCCCTTCCAACCCGTTCTGTGACTCTATAACTCTATAAAAAAGCAACTTGTTATGGCATTTCAGGTAGTTTTAGTAGCCACTTGAACAAAGGGCACCACTTGGTGACAGTGAATGCTCTCCCAGGAGAGGAAGAGGGCATAGCTAGAAGGTCTCCTGTGCCACCTGATTCACAGTCACTGAATGCTCAGAATTCCTAAGACTGACACACGGAAATACTTTGGTGAATAACATCATCAACAATGAAAAATGCAGATGCTTAAGCACTGGAAACATCTCCTAATGATTAATAAAATCTCTTGCACAAATGCAGGAGCTGTACTCTTGCCAAGTCATGGTAACAGCAGCATGTGTGTCACCACATGTGTTTCAGAGCTGGGAGGAGGATTTCTCTGTGTAGGCACTGGGTCCAGCTCATTGGGCCAGATTTGCTGCTGCTTGGAAAAGGAAGCATCCAAAAGAGCAGAGAGTTCCTCACTTGGTATCACTAACAACTCCATGGATGGACCACAAACTTTGCACTTGTTAAGATGCCAGAGAAACCCTTGTTAAATTGTTTTCTGCACTGACAAGACCAGATCAAGAAGGAGTTTTTTGTCAGCAATTTTGGTTTGGACTCCAAGCCACACCTTAGAGAGAGGTGTGTCTCAATCCAGTGTGACTGTAGGTTATAGCAACTACATCAAGTGTGTGTCAGAGTCAGAAATGCTGCTTACATCACTTGCAATGTCCCTTGAAGCTTTGGCAGCTTTCACTGACATGGCTTCAGGTGTGAGGTCGTAGCCTTTCTTTATCATTTCCTGCCAGTCCAGCTTGTAGAGTTTCTAAAATTGAAAACAACAGGAATTAAAAAAGTCTTAGTAATATGAATGTCACCTTCTATTTAGGTACACTAATGATCCATATTACCAAATTACAGGCTTCACTTACAAGGGAAGGGCTGCTAGAATAGGAACTGAGAAGTGGGAAACTGATAAACAAGGAACACAGGTATTCCAAGGCTTAGGATAGGCATTAAATAGTTTTTTTGCCATTGCAGGAGCTTCCTACTAGAGCTTATCTTGGGGAATTTGAAACATATACACCTGGGATAACTGTTCAGTTGGCTTAACAAAACTGTAATTTGTAAGGGTTTCGTGCAGCCATTCCACTGTCAAGTAAGTCTGTGCACAGTGGATTTTAAGGACAGGCACTTGCAAGTCCAAGATTTCCCTCTGAGCAATGAAGAAAAGCAAAACCTGAGGATTTTTTTCTGGTACAATTGTCACTTTCTCCTATTTGAAAGTTGACAGAAAAGAGGGAATCACTGCATGTATTTCTTTTCCCCAAGGTTAAAAATACACACAATTAACTTGTAATTTTACAGTAAGGAATTTTTAACTGATTTTATGTTAAGCATAGAGCGTGGCTTATGCAATTCTAGATTTCCAAACCAGTATTTACATTTTCCATACATTATAATGCAATTTAGTCTGTTAGTTTGTAGCCTGAAGCTGGTACTTAATGTTACTCTTAAAATATTACTCACATAAAAACTCTTGCCTCTGTTCTAAACCCCCAGCAGGTATTAATTTAAAATGTTAATAGGAAAAATTAAAAAACTCTACCTGACTGTAGTTTGTCTTGTTCTGTTTTGCCTGGAGAATATCTGGTGTATCTGGCATCACATGGACCTGAGTTTTATCCTTCTCCCAGGCTTGAGTATAAGCATGCTGTGGATAAAAAGTACATCAGAAATGTTGATACAAATGACAAAAGATGGTTCTTTAGGGGTTTTCACCTTTCCATTTGTGCACTTTGTGAACTGAGGGGTAAAAAGAGATGTGCTGGCTTAGATTTATTTTACTATGTAATGACCTAATCTAGAATCAGCTGAATTATTATCCAGTCTTGCTTCCAATGAAGTCCAACTATCAAGATTTTCAGGACCAGTAATTTTTATATAAGAATGGGGAGAATAGAGCTTGGAGAAAAGTGAGAAAAGATTTTTCAACAATGCTATTTATCAACAACTGTTTCACTAAGAAACAAAATGAAGAAAGAGGAGCCTGTGACAGTTGTTTTTCCCAGTGAAATGCTGCTCCATAAAGGTGGTGACAGAGACTTACAGACTGTTAATTGGAATGGATTCTAGGTGAATATTTGCCTAATTTCCCCCACAAATACTCACTTTGTTCATGATATTTGCATTCTGCTTTGCAAGGACCAAGTCCATGGCATCATTTGGTTTGGTGAAGGAGAACTGGCTGGGATGCTGGCGGTACTTCTGATCGCTCGCGATCTCCGTGGCTTTCTTGGATTTCTCCACATCCAGGGAACCAATAGGACTCCACCCAATGCCCCTGAACCACTCCTTGTAATCCTGCTTGTACTCATTCTGCCAAGAGAACACAAAAGGAAAGGTTACAATTCCCTCTCAGGCACATGGTGGGACCCCTGGGGACGGGTCTGTGCAGGGCCAGGAGCTGGACTCGATGACCCTTGTTGGGTCCCTTCCAACTCGGGATATTCTGTGATCCTGTGCAACAGCTCACACAAAACCATCCAAAAGACAGTTGTGGTGTAAGAACAGGAAAAAAGCCCCAAGAATTAAACCAGGAACTTACATCACTCTGTATCTGGTTCATGTTTCTGTAGAGTTCCAGGCTCATGGCATCTGGCAGGAGCATGTACTGGTGGATCAGGCGCTTGTAGTTGGTGTTGGTCACACGGCCTTGGGCCTCCTTGGCTGCCACCACGCTGAGGGCATCCGTGGGAGTCTGGTAGTGGGTCTTGCCCATCTCATAGGCCTTCTTGTACTCCCTGTCCGACTGCATCTTGGCCACTTGCATGTAATGGACAAGCTTGGGATCATCCTGGAGGCTGCGGAAGCCCACGAGTTTGCCCTTGTCTTTTTCATAACCTAATTTGTATTTGTACTGTAGGAGAACAGAAACAGAGGCTTTAGGTTGTTTAGAGTGGACATCAGGAAGGAATTCTTGGCTGAGAGGGTGAGGAGGCCCTGGCACAGGTTGCCCAGAGAAGCTGTGGCTGCCCCATCCCTGGAATGTCCAAGGTTGGACAGGGGCTTGGAGTAGCCTGGGATAGTGGAATGTGTTGGGGTTGGAACTGGATGATCCTTAATGTCCCTGCCAACCCAGCCACTCCATGATTCTATGACTCATTTGCTTCATAAGGAATATCTATCTTACAAGGAAAATACCCCCCTCAGATTAAAATAAGATTTTGACATAGTTAAAACATCACAAAGCATGTAGAGGTGGTGGCTTTGTCCTCTTATTCTTAGGGTGCACTCTAAAGCAAATCAGATGTCTGGGGTGCCTTCAAAAGCAGGGTATTTAAACCACTTTCTTAAAATGTATTACAATATATATTAAAATGTATTACAATATATATTAAAATGTATTACAATATGTATCACAATGTATTGCAATATCTGTCAAACATGTCAGAATTATTTACAAGCCAGAGAACAAAGAGACTTCATGTATTTGGCATCTAAAATTGAATTGTGTCAAGAACTGAACTCTGTACAACAACTAAAATGGGTCATTTTTGATTTTAAAGAACTTACATCACTGGCAATTTCCCTGGAAGCTTTGGCAGCTTTAATAGGGATGGCATCAACTCTGAGGTCGTATCCTTTCTTCCTGGACTCTTCAAATGAAGATCTGTACATTTTCTGCCAAAAGAAGGAAAATCATCTTTAAAAAAGCAAAAAAATTGCACGTTTTCCACATGGACAAATGTTGGGGAAAAGTTATGTCTATAAGGATGTCAGATTAAAATAATAAAAAAAAAAAGACAGAAATATATCTCTTTCTGCCCACATTAAATACACAATTACAAGCAATATTTTATTTAGCAGATGCAGATTTAACAACTGGCTATCAAAACCTGTCTATAATTTCACCTGTTACCAAAAGAACAGGTGCAATCTGCAAGAATTTTTAGTCCAGTACAAAATCTTGTGCATGGGGAAATAAAATAATAAATAATAAATGCATTAACAAACATGAATAGTACTCAAACTGTACTGTCCTGTTAGCAACTATTATATTTTAATGACCTACCTGAACATTTCATCATCTGACTATAAATAACATGGGTTTTACTTGGCTACTTTTGGTATTTAATTTTGGGGAAGGCAGCAGGGAAAAGTAAAATTAATAACTTTTTGGGAAATAACTAGATGTTAGCAAGGTGAGAATTAGAGAGACTTATTTTTGCTGTCACCTCACCTATTCCTAATAAAAAATTAAAAGCAAGGTCAGAGCCTTACAAACAGTACTCACTTCACTTATGTTAAATGCATTTGCTTTTGCCAAAACAATCTGTGGAATATCTGGGGTGATGTGAATTTTCTTTTTGTCTTCTTCCCAGGCTTGTTTGTACTTGTGCTGGAAGGATTAAAAAAAGGATGTCAGCATCTCTATTTATTAAACAAAACAATTTAAAAGGTTATTACCTATTTGAAATATTTGAAATATCACCTCACCTTGACACTGAGGTGATACTAAATATCTCTTATTTATTTTTATCTTCTTATCTTTACCTTTTATATTTTTTATTTTATTACTAACATTTATCCTAACAGTTTGTCTCTTTATTTTAGCACTTAAAATATCCTCATTAACTGCAAAAAAAAAATCGATGGTTTCTAAAATTGTGCCTACAATAACATTGACTCTTACATCAGGTCGAGTTTGTTTCTTACTTCTGCAAACCTAAATGAGTTTTGTTGACCCCTTTCTCACCTCATCCATGATTTTGGCATTATTTAAAGCCAAGACCATGTTCATGGAGTCCATGGGAACAGAATATTTCAGCTTGTCCGGGTGCTGCCGATATTTCTTCTCACTGACAATTTCCATGGCTTTTTTGTTCTTCTCAGCTTCCAGGGAGCCCAGTGGGAGCCACCCAACCCCCTTCATGGTTTCATCATAATCTGCTTTGTATTGATTCTGGAGGCAGAAAGAAAAAACACCCCAGATACATTAAAAAAAAAAAATCTGTAAATCCTGATACTTCTTCCTGTTTGTAAAATTTGGAAGCACAAGATAAAAGCTATTAATGAGAAATGAGGTTTTTCCTGTGTTGGTCTGCACACAACTATTGCTCCTAAAGAGCCTGGTGGGACCTGTGAGGAGTTAATATCCATTTTACTTTCATAAAATTACTTATTTTTGAGCTGAAATTCTTTAGCAATAGGTGTAATTTCATATTTCAGAGCCTGGAAAAAATAAAATGGTTGTAATTGAAGAACTCATTTAATTTACTACCTTTTAGTATATAAGCTGAACTAATTCAACTAAGAAAATAGTTGAATTTATCTTAATATTTATTTTAGTTGTTCCCTGCTAGTCAGGTTCCCTAGACCTTCCCAGCTACACATAATTCTGATAATCTTTGGAAAATAAGTGGTTCCAGACCGGTCACATCCCAACCTACTGTTAGTCCACTATAATAGTATATACTGGATTATAAATCCATATAATCTCACAGTGTGCTTTCATGAATGAAGCATGGCTGTATTTGCAATGCAAAGGCTGAAGACCCTCTTATACTCACATCACTTTGCAGCTGCATCATGTTTTTGGCCAACTCGATGCTCATGGCATCGGGCAGGACGTTGTAGGTGTGGATCAGGTTTTTGTAGTTGGCATTCGTAGCCACTTCCTGGGCTTTCTTGGCTGCCACCACACTGACCATGTCCACTGGGGTTTGGAAACTGGTCTTGGCCTTCTCATAATCCTTCTTGTATTCCCGATCCGACTGCATCTTGGCCACCTGCATGAAGTGCACCAGCTTGGGGTCGTCCTCGAGGCTGCGGAACCCGATGTGCTTCCCCTTGGCTTTCTCGTAGGCCAGTTTGTACTTGTACTGAGGAACAACAGCAAAAAAACTTCAATTCCAAACTGCACTGCTAAGCTCAGTCTTACCACTGAAAACATCACAGGACCTCAGGTCTGGCCATTTAAACTGAATTCCAGCGAATGGCATCACCCAACTCACATCGCTGGCGATGTCCCGGGAGGTTTTGGCAGCTTTGATCGGGATGGCATCAGGCTGCAGGTCATAGCCCTTCTTCTTGTCCTCCTCCCAGCCAGCTTTGTAGAGTTTCTAATGCCAAATATAAAAGAGAACAAGCATTGTAAAGGCAGAACTACTGAAGTGCCTTACATCTGGATTTAAATAGTTTTTCAAAAGACATTAAAATGACACCAATTTTTGATCTCAGAGCACAGGAACTCACGTCACTCATTGTGAGCTGGTTCACTTTACACTGCAGGATTTCTGGGGTATCTGGCATGACGTGGATGGTGGTCTTCTCTTTGTTCCATTTATCTGTGTAGAGCCTCTGCAATGAAAAGGTCACCTTTAGCACTGAAAAGGTACCAAACTCTTATTTAATGAATTTGCTTCTGTTTTGCTCATTTGCAATAATTAATGTTTTATAGAAAGTCCCATAAGCATCATAAATAACCCTCACAAATATGAGTGCTGAGGGACAACGTTATCTCCCTCCTTTCTTTAGTACTTTGAGAAATTTGTAAAGTATGTTTGGAGAACTAATAAATATTGAAAATGGGAATTCTTCCCTGCTTTAATGGAATGAATGACTTTTATTTCACAGATCCTTTTTGCATGGTAGATATGGAATAAGGATCAGTGGTGTCCCAGACAACTGTGGATAAATGTGAAGAACCCCACTTTTCAAGGACAATTGTACAAAACTGAGAGAATTTCAGGGGTTTTTCAGCTCATTGATAATTAAAACTTTCTACAGAAAAAAGCCAAGGTTACTAAAGCACTTTAAATTGCAAGAAGACATCTTTAATCCCATACACAAACAAGAAATCATTATAAACAGATGAGGAAACTCCCTTAATTATCAACAGTCTGAGGCTTCCATGGCCTCTCAGTGTCCAGCCTTAACCAAGCAACCACTACAGCCACTGAAACTCCAACAATTTCAGTGAGAATGCACAACTTTACAAGCCAAAGACCCAAACTCTGGCTCATCCATGATCACCTGAACAGCTTCTCACCTTGTTCATGGTCTTGGCATTTTGCTTGGCAAGCACTTGCTCCATGGCATCCATGGGGATGGAGAACTTCAGTTGGTCGGGGTGTTGCCTGTACTTCTTCTCACTGAGGATCTCTGAGGCTTTTTTGGCCTTTTCTACCTCCAGGGACTGGATTGGTACCCAGCCAACTCCTCTCAACCAGTTATTGAAGTCAGATTTGTACAAATTCTTTTAAAAAGTAAACAAGGAAACACAGTGAGGCAAAGAAAATGACAATGTCATTACACAGAAACACAGTTAAGGCCTTAAAACTTCTCCTGATTGTTCATTTTTGAGGGGAAACTTGTAGCTAAATAAAACTTGAATATAATAAAGTTAGTATTTAGACCCTGTACATAACCTATGATCTCTGACAGGACAAATAATAATCACAGTAATAACACATTGTAATTATAAAATGACATGAATTTGCCGGGAATTGGAAAATATGTAGAGATATAAAGAAAATTGTTACTCACTAGATAAGTTCCCTAGAGCTTATCAGCTACACATAATTCTGATAATCTTTGGAAAATAAATGGTTCCAGACCAGTCACCTATGTCCCAATCTACTGTTAACCCAATATAATATATACTGGATTATATAAGTGAATTTTTTAGCCTTAAAAGGTTAATAGTGTAACACACTCATTATGAGAAGAAAATAATGAGCTGGTTAATGATTACATACATCACTCTGAAGCTGCATCGCGTTCCTTGAGAGCTCCAGGTTGACAGCATCAGGCAGGAGGGTGTAATTGTGGATTGGCTGCTTATAGCCCATGTTTGTAACCACTTCCTGGGCCTTCTTGGCTGCTGTCACACTGAACATGTCCAGGGGAGTGTGATATTTGGTCTTGGTGACCTCATAGTCCTTCTTGTACTCACGGTCCGACTGGATTTTGGCCACGTTCATGTAATGAACGAGTTTGGGGTCGTCCTGGAGGCTGCGGTACCCGACCTGTTTGCCTTTGTCCTTCTCATAGGACTCCTTGTACTTGTACTGGAGACACAGGAAAAGAGAGGTTTGCCCACTTGGGAAGGAGGAAACATACTTCTGATGACTTTAAAACACTGAGTTGCAAAGTATAAACCATTGCAGTTCGTTCTACAATCTCATAAATTGTACCTACATGCCCTCCCTCACCATTGCCACTGACATATGATATCCCACTGCCATGGACTTCTAACCCTCAGGGACATTCAGCTCTTAATTAAGATAGTATATAAACTATGATCTAATAATAATATAATAATAAAACAACAACATAATATAATACAAACTATAATAACAAATTTTTGAATCCCCTCACCAAACAATCAGATACCCCAATATTCAATTGGGATGTTCAAGAGGGGGGTGGAAGAGTCCCTTGCAAGCTTTTGCTAAAGCAGAAGGACAGGTCTCCAGCAATTAAGGACAGAGTATAGGTAAATAATAATAATAATAATAATAATAATAATAATAATAATAATAATAATAAAAAATAAAGTTTGAAATGAGCTGGTGAATCCTTGAAGCAGACAAAAAGCTGCAGTGCTGTAAATGACACTCACATCACTTGCAATATTCCGAGAGGCTTTAGCTGCAAGAATGGGAATGGCATCTGGTTTCAGGTCATATCCTTTGGCAAGGGTTTTCTTCCAGTCTGCTTTGTAGTTAGCCTTGGAGGGGAAAAAAGAAAGGAATTCACAATGTCAGGAGTAGCAATTTTAACCAAGTGTTTAAGTCATTATTTTAATACAGTTATGGAATCAAAATATTCAGTTTAGTCTGAGAAATTTCAAGGAAAAACGTTCACCTGCACAAAAACTGCAGTTCTATTTGGATAAATAAATCTGCTACAAGGATAATCATTAACTCCACAAGCATTTTTGGCAATTTTTATTTAGAACAACTCCATCAGTGGCATTTTTGCAAAGCCTTTTCTCATTTGACTGAACCTTCAGAAATTTTTATCCTGTCAGCTTCAAACACAGCCCTCGTGGTGTGAAAGGACTGAAGAAAGCAGTCTGGTTGATTTTTTATTATCAGTGTGGACAGAATATTTGCATTCCAAGGCTATTAAAGGCAATAGCAGCTTTTACCTAGCTCCTGGAAGGCTGATAATGCCACCAAAAATTTAATATCATAAAGGCAATACAATTGATACTGTCAGTGGAGATCTTTATGGTGTTGGATGGATGCAAGCAGGGAGGGAAAGCAGGCAGGCTGGCAGTTGAATGGCAGGAAAAAGCATTCTTATCTTCCCAGTGGAATTCCCCTTTGAAAGCCCAGCAGCAGGAAGCAACACACAGAGACCTTGTACTGCTTACCCAGGTAATGGTTTATATAAAAATAAATTACATAAGTCTCCTAGAGTATAGGAATCTGAACAACATCATGCTGGTTTTCTCACTCGGTTTATAGCAGTAAAGCACTGAAATGTGTTTATGCTCAAACAGCTGAAAAATCTGCTTAACAAGCACAAAAGCAAAAGTTGAGCTGAATTCAGAGCTTGGGCATTTGGGATAGGAGAGGAACAGCACCACTTTTCACATCATAGCCCCTTGCTTTGAATTCTTCCAATCCCATTTTGCAACAGCTCTCGAAGAAAAGGTGAACTTAACAGAAACTTCATTTGGATCAAGAGCTCTAAATTCCAAATATACTCACATCACTGATGTTGTAGGCATTAACTCTGGCCTGTATGAAATGGGGCACATCAGGAGGGAGGTGGTACTTGTGAATTATTTCTTCACCTTTGGATTTATACAGTATCTGCCAAGAAATACAAAGAAAGAAATTTTGCAGCCCAAAATTTAATTGTAGATTAAAAAACTATTAAAAAAAAAGATGTGATTTCCAGGTGATTTTCCACTGGAACTGTGAACATACACACACAGTGACCCAGACATTTATTTCAGGAGTTCTCTTAAAACTGGATGATGAAGTGAGAGAGGGCAGAAATTGGTAATGTTTCCTAAGTTTACTCACATCACTCAGCTGTTTGCTGTTGATCTCTGCTTGCTTCTGTACTGGAGAGTCAGTGACTGCAGTGAATTTGATTTGATCAGGATGCTTTTTGTAGGTGTGCTGAAGGAAGATAAAAAAATATATTGGAAGAAGAGGCATAAAAAGTATTTTCCAAGTATTGATAAGGTAAATAAAATTATGAATAAAGTAACTTAAGTACTTTCAAAGGATTAATTTTAAAATATGTTAAGTAGCTGAATGCTTGAGGTTCATTCTTCATGTTGGTACTATTCCTTTAATTGTATGGTTTTACTTATTAAAAAAGGGATTGTGCAATATCTGTCTCGATCACTAGATGTCACAAAAGGCTCTAAAATAGGGATGGAGGTTTTTAGAAGTCACTTAAGCTCATCCAGTCGAATTCAAAAGCACTGAAGTTAAGAGGAATCACTCAGGTCATTTTTACTCTGCTCTTTACTTACGTCTTTGCATTGCTCCAACTTCTTAATCGCTTCGTACTCTTGAGTTATGGTCTGGGGGAAGTAGCATTTTGTCTTTTCCTCCTCATAATCTGCTTTGTAGTTTTTCTAGGAGCAAAATCAACACTCAGTAAGAAACCACAACCGAGCTTTCTCTGAAATGAAGGTGTGGTGGGGAAAACAGGACAACGGCCACACTCACATCGCTCTTCATAGCTTCCACCTGCATGCAGTGCGTGTGATGTGGGTCCTCAAAGCTGCCCAAATAGTGCCCCAAAATATTCTTCTGATAGGCCTCCTTGTATTTCACCTGGGAAAACAACCCTGAGCTGACAAACAAAAGTAATCCAGAGGGTCAGGACTGAAGGACACAACATAAATCAAATACGTACGTCGCTGAAATTCTTCAGAGCGGCGTCGGTCTGGAACTTGGGGGTGTCACAGTAATTCATCTTGTTGCCTTTTGACTGTTCATAGGCTTCTTTGTATAATTTCTGCAAGAGAAAATAAGGTCAGATAATGCAGGAGATTTCACTGCAACTCACCCACAGCACGTTAAAAATTGCAAGGGGAAAACTGTGAAATGGTTGCAAAGAGATGATTTCCCCCAGGACTGAGAAAGAGATGGCACTATTTTCCCAATGATTTTTTAAAGTAATTTTTTTTTAGGTTTGTAAGGGAAGCCAGAAAGGTCTGACTAATGGTTTTTGAAGTTCTGACACTGAAAAATATGTGATCTCTTTCCATGCAGATGAAAACAGCAAGAGGAGAGAAACTGAGAAGGCTGTTACAGTGAGTAACCAGAATACAACGTATGTAAAAGTACCACATATTTTATCATGATTGTATCAGTTGAAATTCCTTAAACCAGTAAGGGAAGAACTTCCCTCTTGTGATCCATTATCCACAGGGATCTAAATTAATTATAAAGTAACTAGCTATCCACATGCCACTGCCACAGCCCCACTCATCCATGGAGAAATGACTCTTTACTTGACCCATTCTGGCTGGGGGCACCTCATGAGAAATACAAATACAAAACTAAAATTACTGAGAGATGCAAAGGAGAGGCCTTGGGAAGAAATGAAGAGTTTGGTTTCTTGGACATGACTGAAACTCATGATACTTACATCACTGAGAATATTGCCTGCAGTTTTCAGTTGCTTCAGCAATGGGTTCTCTGTAGCAGGAAGCACATTATAATCTGCAATGGCTTTCTTCTTTTCGTAGTCTGCTCTGTATTTTACCTTGAAAAAATAAAAACAAAAAGGGCAGGGTTTTAAAAATCAGTATTAAAGGTCAAATGTTCACTAACCTGTGTAATTGCCCAGAGAAGCTGTGGCTGCCCCATCCCTGGAAGTGTCCAAGGCCAGGTTGGACAGGGCTTGGAGCAACCAGGGATAGTGGAAGGTGTCGGGGTTGGAACAAGATGGGCTTTAAGGTCCCTTCCAGCCCAACCCAGTCTGGGATATGATTCTAATCTATGCTATAACCTTGAATTTTTCAGAAAAAAAATGCCCCTGTTACATAACTTCCCATTCATGGTGGCAAAGGACCATGAAAGGTCCTGACAAAACAGTTTCAGGGCCAACTTGTCTGACTGTGGGACTGTTCTCAAGCTGAGCAAATGGGACACCCAGAACTCACCTTACTGACATTCTCTGAAACTCTCTTATTGGCTTCATACTCTGGGGTTTCAGTCTGCATGAAGTAGATTTGGTCTTTCATGTTTTCAAAGTCTTCCTGGTACTTTCTCTGTTAGAAACAGACAGAAAACAATGTATCAAATGCACTTACTTTACAATCAGACATCCACAGAGTGGCTTGTTCAGGAAAGGAGAAATATCACCAGAGGAGCAGGCAAATTATATCAGTATTTTCCCTGTTAACACAGACAGAGGATAAAGCTGTTCAAGATTCCCTGAAGAATCCACTCACCATACTTAGATTTTCTGCATTCATTTTTGCAATGGCCACGTCATAGCACGGAGTTTGACTCCACTTGCCTTTGACTTTGTTTTTATAGTCCTCATGGTAATTAATCTATAAGGAAATCAAACAATCAAATTTAATCCCCAAGACACAGGTTCATTTTCACTTCACAAGTTTGGTTTTCACAGTTGTATTTTTAAAGTTGCTTCACATTTTACATCTGCCTTCTAAACACTTTGATAGTCCCTGTCAAAAACACTCTAAATATGATTTGACCAAAACACTTCAGTGTTCAGTTATTGCTCTTAGTTCCTCCCCTGACCCAAAAAGGGTAAATAGGTGGCATAAATAATCTCTTTTTGAACAAAGTCATTAATAAGAAAATCTCTCTGTGATACTTCACTAACACATTCCTTTAGTTCTGTTTTCTCACTGCTCACATAATATTGGGACATAGTATTGCCCATTAGTTAACTAAGAATTTACTGTTACTGCTGTTTATTATTTTACTCATTTCAAAGAATTATGGGGGTTTGATCTTGGGGTTTACATGTTACAAAATCTTCTTGATGACAATTTACCTTTTAAACTGTGGAATCGTAAGATTACAGAAGTTTTCTCTAAACAAAATTATTTCACCTTCCAAATGGGTTCAATATAATATTTTATGAGTGGTTCTGCAACCAGAAGTGAACCCTGTAACTCTCTAATCTTAAGGAGTAGATAATGTTCAACACACAATAAAATAAATAAAATAAAATCAGGCTTGTCCTAAATTCTGAACTGAGTTAAAATCCTACTTCTGCCTTACAAGATTATACAACTTGGTTCCAGTTTCTTCAGCAAATTTGGTCTTCCTGCATATCTTTTCTTTCTCTTTGTCTTTCTTTAGGTACCTTTTTGCCTCTCTAACTCCCAAAGTGAGGTTTCTACAGGAAAAGACACCGTATCCTACTCACGTTGCTCAGCTGCCTTGTCACCTTCTTGGCCAGTTCCACATCAGGGGGATCTGGCAGGGAGGTAAATTTGGCTTTCTGTTCATCGTGCCCTTTTTTGTAGACAATCTGAAAATGGGGAAGAAATACAGATTTCCAGCAACTGCCAAGCTGAGCATCAGAACATCCAGCTCTGCTCCCACCCCATTAACTGCAGCAGTTCTGCCCACAGCCACTGCAGCAGGAACCCCTTCAATCAGTGTGTTACCAGTGAACATCTGCAAAATTCACTGAAATCTTGACCTGAAATCCCCAATTGGAGAGTTCTGGGTATCCAAATATCAGCAAATCCCACAGCCCTGCCAATTCCTGACTTTGCTTATCACTGTTTTAGAGACAGATTTGCAGACCCACAACTGTGACCTGGATTTAGAGTCAACCCTGGCAGGGAGTTTCTCCATCTGAAATCATTTTATTCAAATGTTTAATTTCAAATATTATAAAACTATAGTGTAGAATAGAAATAATCTACCGAGTCATGCTGGAACCCAACTGTGTTTTTGGTACTCACATCACTCAGAGCCTTCTGAGCCTGGGCCACCCTCCTGAGCTCTGGGCTGTCGTTGTAGGGATAAAACAGAGTTTTGTCTCCTTCCCACTCCTCAGTGTAGAGTTTCTGAAACCCAGAAAAACACCAGAATGCTCATTATGAATTAACCTGTGCCTTGGAAAGCTTCTCTCACTTCAGCTGCTTAGAGCTGGGATTGTTTTCTCTTACCTTGCTGAACATTGCTGTGTTTTTTATTGCATTCACAAGCTCTGGAGCATCAGGGGGCAGCAGGTACTTGTCCTTATTCTCCTCCCAGTTCTGTTTATATAATACCTGGAAGGAAAGATCAGCCAGTCGGTCATTCAATCACTAGAAAAATATTTACTTCCGTGAATATTGTGTAAATATTGTGAATAAACTACCTGCTCTTGAGATTATTTCAAAGTGAAAGCCTCAGTCCAGTAACATTTGAAGGCAGTAAATGGAAATATTTAAGATTGTATTTATATTTATAAGATATATTTATACCATCTTCTCTGCTGTCCCTCCCTGTGCCTCTAAATTGTTGTGTAAACATTGCTTTAGCTCAAAACTTTATTTATATCAGCAACTTCATGATCCACAGATGTTCACTCACCTTGCTCACTTGCTGGGACACTTTCTTGGCATGTTCTATATCCATGGCCTTTTCATCCACGTGGCAAATAGTCCTGGCAATTTCCCCAGCCATGCGGTATTTAACCTGGAGGGCCCAGAAATTCATTTATTCTACAGCAAAACTGCTTTTTTTCTCTTAAGGAAAATCAGAATATTGACATTTTGACACTTCATGCTGTAAACAACCAAAACATGAAGGGACCCAGAAATGAAGCCTCTGGAAACCAATGGATTTGGGGAATTAACTGAGGAAGAAATGCAGTTTTGAGAGAGGTTCAAGAGATGGGATTCCAAGCTAGAGGTGGTGCCTGTCTGTGATCATAGAGCTGTTCCTAAGAGCACTTCCACTCTGTATAATGAGAGGTCCATCCCAGGATATGCAGTGTAGCTCCATTTCCCAGTGCATTCCCACATAAACACTGGCTGTAGTGCCAAACCAACACAGTCACATTCCCGTGGCAAAACAGCAGCTTGGTTGGAATTATCACTTCTTATCCAACACCCAAAATTCAGACTTAATTTGCTTCTTAACTACTCACTAAACATTATTTTCTCCTGTAGTTGCCACCCACCTCACTGAGCTGGTCCTGCACTTTCTTGATCCTCCGGATTTCTGGGGTATCAATTGTGGAAGCATAAGGCTTTCCTTTCTCTTTTCTAAATTTTTCTTTGTACTTGTTCTGGAAGAAAACAATGACAAACACAAATAAGACACAGCCTAAAGCTCTGACAGAAATCTATTGGCAATTACTGCCATATTTATCTGGTTAGGAGAAGAATTTGGGGTGATTATTTAGTAATAGAAATGAGCATTACTCAATTACATTTGCAGTTGTGCTTATTTTAACCAACTGACTTTATTCCATCTGACACAACAGGAAAAAATCCATCTCTAAATTCAGTCTGGTTTGGATCACCTTTAATTGATTATATTCTCTTTAGTAGCTTAATATTAGTATTAAGCTACTACTAATAATAATTATATATAATACTTCAAATCTATATATATAATTGATATATTAAATCTATAATTGATATGAATATAGATCTATTCTTGTATAATAATTAAGAATTGACTATTGATATTGTTATGATATTAAGTATAAATTCAAAAATAAATTTAGTCTTTTGCAACATAATAATCAAATAATCCCTATCCAATCTTTCCAAGGTGTTCCCCAAGAAATAAAAGACGTGGGACAATCTTACCTCACTGAATAGGTCCTTCATTTTGTTGCTGTGTTCCAGGTAAGGCGTCAAAAACTTGGATGGGTCCACTTTTGTCCGGATTGTCTTTTTCCTGCCTGGAGGTGCTGCATCCTCCCCAGAAGGTTTGTCCTGCTCCACACTGTAGGTGGTTGTGGTAGTTTCAGGACCTGTGAACTCTGTGCTGACGGTCTCAGTGATCTCAGTGACCACCTGGGAAAAAAGAAATCAAAATAATTACTTGCCTTATAGCTCTAAAAACTCATTATTATAAGTATTTTTCACCTCCCTGAGTGACTAAAAGAGTGCTCAGCTTATCCAGATCCACGTGGAGACAAAAAAACAGTTACATTTTTCCTGCTGGGATTATCCATTATTCCTACTGTACATCACCCAACCTAAAAAAGCCACAAGGAATTAAATGTCTGGCTGGTTTCTGTATCAAACTCATGTAATTATTCACCAGAGGACCTGGAAGCTGCCTCTGCTTAATATGTATAACTCCCAATGAATTTAAATAGTTTATATTCTTGTTTATCAACAGATAAACATTATTATGGTCTGCAAGCAATAATTTTAACACCATGGTTCTAATGAAAAGCAAATAAAAATAATTATTAAAACTTAAAAAGTGCTCCAAAATCACCTAAATGAGAGTCAGATTTTATTTAATATAAGATTTTTTTATAAAAAAAATTGACTTTAAGGTCAGATTTCTGATAGCTGTTTGCAGCAGTATGAGACTGAACTGAAAATACATCAAGAATTGAACATTTAATAGCTTTGGTTTCTGCACAAGCCTATGCCATAAAGAATATTTCATGGTAACATAGGAGAGAGTTGAGATATATCTATTTTATAAATAGAATTTCAAATTGTGGCAACAAATCCTTGGTGACCCAAATATTTGTTACCAGTGACATGAAGAGAAACCTGCAAACCATCAGTTTTTTTGGGAAATTGCCCAAGGAGAAGGGAACAGAACTGATACATCTAAAGTGGTCCTCTAGATCATCCCACAGCAGAGGAAATAAAGTATTAAACAGCAACTCTTTGGTGCTATTTGTGAGTTTAATGTGAAAAATTAAACCTCAGAATACAAAAAGGCTACTAATTTAGAGTTACACATGAATTACATGCATATAGGTGCTATATGAATAATGAAAGGGACCTTTACCTCATGTGGCTCACCCTCCTCAACAACTGTCTCCTCAATGTAGTACTATTAAAAAAAAAAAGAGGAAAAAAAATCATTGTTAGGTCAGATTAGCAAATTGTAGCTTCTGTGAAGCTGTTTTAAACCCACACTTCTGGAGGAACAGGGCTGTAGTTCACAGGTACTGATGGAGTCATCTGGTAATTCTGAATATCCGTTCATTTTTTGCATTCATGATTGCATGTTTTCCACACATTCCTCAACTAATCATCGTTCAAGTAACTAATGAAGGATCATTATGTAATTCTACCCACAGGAGGGAAGGCAATGATGACCACAGCAAAAGAATCAGCATTTAAACCCCAGCATTTTCCAGGTGTTTGGTGATACTCTGAGGGGGCTGTAGCAGGTTTCTCTAAGCCTGTCCTTGGAGTCGTTCCTACCTACAGATCCTTGAAGGACACCAATAATTACTGGCTGCCAGTTAAGCTTTGTCCTACTGATCTCAACTCTGAGCCTGCTGATTTTCCACCCACTTTATTGTCCTCTATTTACCCCACATCTCATGAATCTGGTGATACAAAGAGGTCTCCCTGAAGCAGTCAAGATACACAACCTTCACTGCTTTCCCCTTGTCCACAGCAGCTGTGAATTCATTATAAACACTAACGAGATGGGTCAGCCATTGTTTTGCCCTTGATAACTCAATGTTTACTGCTCCTCACAACCTTCATGTGTTTAGAAATAGCTTCCCAAATTATTTGCTCCATGGCCTTCCCAAAGAATGAAGTGAGGTTAACCAGCCTGTAGTTCCCTGGATCTTCCTCCTTGCCTTTCTTGAACATCAAGTTGAAGGAATGGAGTTTGTAATGTTTTAAGTCTTTATGTTCCTCCCAAGTGTCCTGATCCTGCTTCCACCTTCAGTATATTTCCCTTTTTTTGCAATTTTGCTCAGTCAGGAGCTCCGTGTTCCTCCACACCAGCCTCCCGCTGTGTTTGACTTCTGCACTTTGGATTGAACCACGTGCTCTGAGGAAATTGTTGTAGAAGATCGCTCAACTCCCCTGGGCCCCACAGGATCTTCCCTGAACAGCCACAAATCTGTCCTTCTGAAGTTTGGGATTGTAATTCTGTTTATCTTCCTCACTGTTCTCTGAATCTTCAACTTCACGAGTCCTGTGGTCACAGCAGTCATGGCTGCCCTTGATCTTGGCATCTTCCACCACTTCTTGCTTGGTTGTGAGTAGCAGGTTCCACGGAACATCTCTCCTAGTTGGGAAACGGAGCTGGGGAAGGGTCTGGAGCGGCAGGAGGGGCTGAGGGAGCTGGGGGGGCTCGGCCTGGAGAAAAGGAGGCTCAGGGGGGACCTTCTGGCTCTGCAACCCCCTGACAGGAGGGGGGAGCAAGATGGAGGTTGGCTCTTCTCCCAGAGAACAGTGGACAGCACTATAGGAAACAGCCTCTGGTTGTGCCAGGGGACGTTTAGATTGAATTTTGGGAAACATTTATTCACCGAAAGAGTGGTTAAGCATTGAACCGGCTGCCCAGGCAGGCGGTGGAGTCACCATCCCTGCAAGCGTTCGACGAACGAGTAGACGTGGTACTTTACAACATGGTTTGGCGGGCATGGGGGTGGACTTGATGACCTTGGAGGTGTTTTCCAGCGTTAACAACTCCGCTATTCTCCATCCTTAGGCTCGCCCTCCATCACCCCTGAATGGAGCCCCGAGCCGCCATTTCCAGCCGCGGCCGCGCGATGGCGCCGTCGGGCGGCAAATGGCGGCCGCGCTGAGGGGGCACGCGCGGCCCGGGTCTTCGCCCTCAGACGTCTCCGCTCGCTGCCAGATGAGGGAAAAAAGCATTTACGGACATTGCCGCACCCGCTGTAGTAACTGGCAGGGATTGTATCCATGAGGTGCCGAACTGCCAGAAAGGAGTAAATGTAAAACGTGGGGTTCATGTTTGGAAACCTCCTCGGCGATACCTGCTCGGGGTCACATGCCAAAAACTGCGGCAGCAAAAAAGCCCTTCAATTGAGACTTTAAAAAATTCTCATTGAAATTTAAGCCCTTTCGGCAGCACTGTTCCTCAAAGTTAGTTGATGCGACTGGTTCGTTCCTCAAAGTTAGTTGATGCGACTGGTTCGTACTTCCCAACCTGTGATATACTGGGTTGTTTTGGGGCGATTTCTGCTCTCTTGCCCAGATGTGCTGGGCCCCCTTTCCAAAAACTTTCCTCAAACCTTCCACTTCACCTTCCATCAAGCCTTCCACAGACTTTCTACAAAACCTTCCACCAAACCTGCAAAATCTTCCACCAAACCGTCTGCAAAATCTTCCACCAAACCGTCTGCAAAATCTTCCACCAAACCGTCTGCAAAATCTTCCACCAAACCTTCCACGACACTTTCCACAATCCTTCCACAACACCTCAAGTAACTCAGCAGCAAAAGTTTGTGTCATTTCCATCACAAAACAGCTACAACGTCAAGTACGGGTTAGTAATTCCCGAGAAATTAAAAAAAATAGTATCTTAAAATGCTTGGCGTTGCCTCAGCTACTCAATATTCAACAACCGTCTTCTAATTCTTTCAGAAGATTAATTTCTGATACAACTCTTGGAGGTTTAAAATCATGGATTCATATAAAAGTGGGGTTTTAGTTAAGAAAGCTCTGGAAAGGTTTAATCTGCCTTAAAATTGCACCAAATGCCGTTGTTCCTCTTCTATGTAACTTCTCACCACGAGTACCCTGAGGGAAGCTACTAAGGCAGTGCCACCTTGGTCTGTCTGAGGGATGTGATTGCAGCAAGGTGGTCACTGAAAATTAAAAACAAAGGATGAAACGGGGCTGTGTGGACAGAAAGCCCAAAATAACGTAATTCCAGCTGGAATAAATAAACTTTGACAGCAAATAAATACCTATTACTGAGAGCACACAACGCTCAGGAAGCACGAAGGCAATTATAAGTGCTAATAGGAAATTTAATGAAGGCTGGTGTTTTGTAACTAGGTGGTACAATGTCTTTAAATGGACTTTATGAGTGGTAACTTGTTGTTTTCCAAAACACATTTAATTAATCCATTTGGCTTTACTTCATTCACTGTTTGAAATTCTTAAAGTCTGCAGCCAGGGCTCGGTGCCCTCACATCACCTAAAATCAACAGTTCACCAAACACAGTGTGGTGACAATGAGTTGTGAGGTGCCTGCATTTATACTCTTCCTCAAACACTGAGCAACTTGCTACAATAATTTATGTATTTAATGGCACATAAGTTAATTTCAGAATAGCAATAATGCAACAGGTAAGACCACTCTGTTGACCTCATGGACTCTTTCAATAGCAAAGTCATTGCTCCAGTGGCATTTGTTCATAATCCTAAAATGTAGGGTCCCCAGTTCCTGGGGATTCTTTTAATTGAACTCTCAGTTTAAATGACCTCTTGGCAAATTAATCCCTAATGGAACTCCACAGACAGAGAATCAAGGAACCACAGAGTGGTTTGGATTGGAAGGGACCTTTAAGCCCATCATGTTCCAACCCTGACAACTTCCACTATCCAGGTTGCTCCAAGCCCCATCCAACCTGGCCTTGGACACTTCCAGGGATCCAGGGGCAGCCACAGCTTCTCTGGGCAACCTGTGCCAGGGCCTCACCACCCTCACAGGGAAGAATTTTCCCCCAATATCCCATCTAACCCTGCCCTCTGGCAGTGGGAAGCCCTTCCCCTGGTCCTGCCACTTAAATCTGGCTCCATCTCTGCAACTTCTAAGGCTGAACCTGGTCATGGTCCCTCAGTGGCACAAACCTCCTGCCTTTCTGCATTGCAGTGGGCACGGAGGCAAGGCTAGGAAGGGGCTCCCAAAGTCATCCTCTCCAGCATGGATTGGGTGACAGAGGGCAAGCCAGGAGGGAGAAGAGATGGTCCAGTGCATCTATAATTAAGCAGAAGAGTAATGAGGAAACCTTGTGCTGTGGGTGTAGGAGGGTTACAGTCCTTATTTAAACTCAGAAACTATGGCAGGAACCAGCAGACTTTGCTCCGCTGAGAGCAACTGTTGTTGTTTGTTGTGGGTTCTTTACTGATTAAGCCATTTAATAGATATCTAATCATCCCCTAATCTTCAGAGAGCAAACAGCCACCTATGCTCCTGAGCAGAGTCTCATTAAAGTGATTAATATATTCATTCACAAGGCAGGAAACAATTATTTCTACTCTTAAGATTTTCTTCTTACCTCCACAACTTCCTCATATTCTTCTTCCTCCATTCTGAGGGTTTTCTTCTGTCTCTCCCCCACTCACTGGTCATGCAGCAAATAAAAATATGAATAAAGAGGATTAGCCCAAAAGTACCATGAGAAGTGACAAATCAAGCTCATAAAGCACCTGGAGTCATGGTTAGTAACTAGTCAGATCCTAAATAAAGCTGGGATCTGGCACTACACTTTGATTATTATGGAAAAACATGGGATTAAGTTTCAAATATACTGATATAAGTTACAATTTTGGACAAATACTTCATTCCAATAGTTGTAACACCAATACTGGAATCCAGTGAAAATAAAAAAAAAATAAGAGATTTCTTGAAGTATGATTTGGGTTCTTTATTACAACAGAATTATATGAAGCATTTTCCTTTTCTCTATGACTATTCTCTCCTCTTTCATTATATTACTCAAGCTCTCATTTGAATGGGAGCTTTATCTGTATATTCTGTGATATTCGTTCATAAGTGAAAGCCTAATGTAGAAAAATATAATAAATTTTTTTTTAAGCATCTTTTGGTTAATGAGGCAATTTCTGTCTCCCCAGCATTAGCCTATATTGATTCTCTGGGAGGTTTTTTTTTTAAGCTCTTGTGGCTTTTTTCTCTCTGTTTCTTCAGACCTGGAAAAGATGAAATTGCACAGAGTTGGCTGAATTACAAAGCACAGATTACTGTCAAAAATTAATTAACACACCGATTTTGCTGCGAGGCAGAGCTACAATTTTCCACCGGAGCCTGCAGCCCTGTTTCTAATGTTGGGAGGGGATGAGGCTTTGGAACAGCTGCTCCTGAGTCCAGGGATATTTGCCGTGTAAGCTAATCCTGCCAAGTGCCCGTTGAGTTTAGCTGGTTACACTGCAATTCCTTCTGAGGCAAGGGAAGTCGAGTAACCCAGGTTAAATATAGGAACATGGGATACTGTCCCTTTTTAGTTACCAGTGAGGTGAGAAAAATTGCCAAAAAGTTAATTTGTTGAACGAGATCATTAACTATTAAAATAAACCAAGAATAACTTCATTAATGGGCGGCAAGTTGTATGAAAAAGTGGGCCAAAGTGAGTGATTAAACCCAAGAAGTGGGGATTGCATATAAGGATATAAACTATAAAAACTGTCACAGTTATAACCTTCAGTTACACTCCCAAACACGATTCCAGGTGCTTTCCTCCTCCTGCAATCTGCAACTGGTTATCCAGGCGGAAGACTTGTCTTCCATGGGCAAGGCATGACAACTACTCCCAAAAAACTACCAGCTGGGGAAACAGCTCAAGGCGCTGCTCTAAGGAAAAGAAGTCAAACATGATTAAAATGTTCTTACCAGCAACATCCAGCAAATATCCTTTGGAGCAAAGCCTCTCCAGCCTTCCCTCCTGAGCAGCAGTGGGAGAGAGCGAGCGGGTGCAGCGGCTCCCGAGGACACGTGTGGCCAGCACGGCCAATCCAGCTCCAGCCCGCTCCAGTTTCAGCCCTAAATATACTTGGTGACCCCGGAGCAGCCACCTGTTCCCAGCAGCATGGATGGAAAGGGAGCGGAGCACCTCGGTGCTCCTGAGGAAACCAAAACACACCGGAGTCTGGCCTGGCTTCTCTAGGTCTCTGTTGAAACGGACCCCCCAGCAGACCAAGAGAACACTCCAGTAGAAAAAACACAGGTGTTTTCTTCCTTCAGAGTTGATAATAACAAGGAATTTGGATTTATTTCATTCCTGAATTGTACCTGAATCAAAACTGCCCCAATTCAAGAATCCCTGAACTTCAGAGCAAGGAGTCTGGACTGAGAACTAAATTTTCTGTATAAATACATCTTTAATTCCACCTTGTAAGTTCACCTTTGTCAACTCGATGCAAATCACATGTCAATATTTTTATCACTTATGAAATGTTTCATAGTTGAAGACACGGACCCAGGAACACGGAAAAAGTGCTACTTGCATGGAAAAACCTGCAAGGAACCCAATGAACAGTCAAACCCACAGAATCACAGAACATGCTGAGCTGGAAGGGACCCACAAGGACCATCCAGTCCAGCCCTCAGCCCTGCACAGGACAGACCCAAGAGTCCCACCCTGTGCCCCAGAGGATCATCCAAACCCTCCTGGAGCTCTGGCAGCCTTGGGGCTGTGCCCACTGCCCTGGGGAGCCTGGGCAGTGCCCAACACCCTCTGGGGGAAGAATCTTTTCGTGGGATCCAACCTGACCCTGCCCTGACACAGCTCCAGCCATTCCCTGGTTGCTGTCCCTGGTCCCACAGAGCAGAGTTCAGTCCCTGCCCCTCCTCTGCCCCCCCCCCCACCCCCAGGAAGGTGGAACTGCACTGAGGTCTCCCCTCAGTCTCCTCTTCTCCAGCTGAACACTCCAAGTGCCCTCAGTGTCATAGAATCATAAAATCAGCTGGGTTGGAAGGGACCTCTGAGATCATCACGTCCAACCCTTGATCCAACCCCACTGTGGTTCCCAGCCCATGGCACTGATGCCACATCCAGTCTTGTCTTAAAAACCTCCAGGGATGGAGAATCCACCACCTCCCTGGGCAGCCCATTCCAATGGCTGATTACCCTCTCTGTAAAGAATTTCTGTCCTCACACAGCTTCAAATCAAGGCGCTTCCCCATCCTCCTTGCCTCCTTTGGACACCCTCTAAAGGCTCAATACCTTCCTTACAACACTGTGTCCCCCCAAACTGCCCCAACATTGCAGGTGAGGCCACCCCAGGGCAGGGCAGAGCGGGACAATTCCCTCCCTCACCCAGTGGTGTCCCCCAGGACACGGATGTCCCTCCTGGCTACCAGGCACTGCTGACTCATGGCCAACCTGCCATCGACCAAACACCTGGTGAGGAAGACTAAGAATACTTGATAAACAGATTGAGTGACAGGGGAGCAACCCTGGTGCACAGAGCAGTTTGGAAGGTCAGGAATGACGTGATGGATGGAGCAGAACCAGGGTGATGATAAGAGAAGTGGCCTCTCAGGTCACCCAGTGGACTGACAATATAGGACTGACTTTGGTTCTTCAAGGAGGTGCATTTCAAAGCCAGTATCAACAATGATCCCTTTCCATATACTAGGTCACATAATTCAATAAATAAATAATTCAATAAATAACTGTATGGGGCCCTTGGGAGGCATCTTCTTTTTCCTTAACTCTTTCCAGAAGTTCATATTTATATCCAGGTGAAATATCATCTCTCATTCCCTACTGCCAAGTATTTAATGCTCTGCACAGAGCTGCAGACCCTTCCCTTTCTCCTTAGGCTCTCAATTACTCCACATTTTGCTTTCCTAGGCAACCCTTCCCCTTTTTATCTGATTTCTGTTTTTTTAAAGGTTTCTTACATCTTTTGAAGATGTCCAGAAATTAATACATGTTGGTGGAGTCTCTCGAGGGCGCTGTCAGCTCGACCTGCTGCTCTCTGACCCAAATCCTCTGGGTGTGCATTCCAGAAATAACTCCCAGGCTCAATTTTTCTCCAAAGTGCTGCTTCTCAGTTAATTGGATGCAAAAAGTGACATCTTCATTAGCAAAACAAACCTTCATGGAGCGAAGGGCCAATTTTTCTTCTTGAACATGTAATTCATTATTGCCATTTCCAGCTCACATCGTAGAAGTTCCTGCAATAAATTTATCCCTCAGTTACTGGAGCATCACCTTCAGCCTATTTTACACTGCTGGTTGATAAATCTTATTTAGAAAGACACTGAACAAGGCCAAAATTATATGCAGGATGCCAGCACCACTTTTCCTGCCACTGAAAAGCAGCTGGTTTTGGTGTGAAACACGGCAGATCTTCAGCAGCACAGTCCAGGGCTGGAAAAGAGCATGGAATAACCCACCAGAATTACAGATGGGCTTTAAGAACTGACAGCATTATTAGGGAAATGAGAAGTTGGGATGAATATAAGATTTTTGTTCTGATGTCTGAACACAAAGGGCGAGGAAGGTGCTCTTGGGTCACTTGAGGCTGCCAGAAAATCTTGAAACTGGAAAAGCCACCAAATCAAACCCAAACCTCACTACACTTTCTGTGGTTTCTGCTCCAGTCCACAATTGCCATTTATAGGTGAAAAATTTAGTGTTCACTTGTTCTGTCTACATATAACACATCCTGATCAATGGATCTTTGCACACCTACCTATATATAAGTTATTTTTATATTTATATATATGTAAATATAACACCTGAGGACATGCACATGTATCTTCACATATGTCTATACATTGGTCTGCACTGCAGAAATAAACTATTAATGCTCATTAATACATTTCATATCATTCACTTTCAGGACTAAGTGAAACATCATAATTGAAACATCATAAATACCATAACTGAAATATGTTGCAAGTGTTGCATGGGGAAGGAGAATCCCAGAATCCCTGAGGTTGGAAAAGCCCTCTCAGCCCATGGAAGTCCCCCCTGTGCCCAATGCCCACCTTGTCCCCCAGCCCAGAGCACTGAGGGCCACGTTCACTTGGACACCTCTAGGGGTGGGGACTCCACCACCCCAAACGTGTATGAGGTAAAAGGAATGCTAATGGTTAATAACATTCCTTTCATGTATTTTCTTTTTTAAGTTGCTTTGTTGGGGAAATTTCTGTCTGACTCAGATTTGTTCGATGGAACGTTCGCAGAACCATAAAATCATTCAGGCTGGAAAAGACCTCCAGGATCATCAAGCCCAACCTTTGTCTTTGCTCTGAGAATAGGAACTTGGCTTTCTGGGGGACAAATATTCCCAAATCATTAGGAAAACTCCTGCTGTAGGTGAGAACGTGGCAGCTCTGATCCAGGTTAACTCACCAGGCCAGACTTTATCCACGCTCCACAAATATCCACGTGCTCAGCAGTTCTGAGCTGAAAAGACAGAAAGCTGCAGGATGACTAAGGCAGAGGGAGATGCTGCTCTGCATTTCAATCACCCCCAGTTTGAAAGCAGAAAATATTTTCTTGTGCTTAAGTCATTTAAATCTTGAGTTCGGTCAGTCCTCCTTATCCAGCAGTAACCTCTCAAGGCATGATGGACCAACATCCTGGCATCACAGGTGCTATATTTAACCTCCTGAGGTAACCTCCTGGACTTAACAAGCATTTTAGCATTGAAAAAGGACATTTAAATACATATTTGTGTCACTGTGTCTATTTTTAACCCACCCTCAGTACGTTCCTTCTCCTTCTTTTTGCCATTCCCAACTGCGAGGCTTCGCTGCCCGTTTTGGTCTCACGGATAGAAACACTGCGGGGAGTATTTTTACCAAAAAAGGCATGTTTGCCAAAAAAATATGCAGTGAAAGGGCTTGGTTAGACAGTGAAAGGGGTTGTATTTGAATTAAACATACATATACATGTATACATTTCCCTGAGTCCTCCCTTTACAGCCGGAAGGATGTTAAGCCGTTTTTTTTTATTCTGAATCAAATCAGGCCTTGTCAGGGATTGGGCCTTGGTTTATGAAGGAAAAGGTTTTTTTAGGATAAGATAAAAGCTGAATTCCACTTTTTACTTCAGTGCTGCTTATCCTCTTTCTCAAAGTATTAATAGAAAGTATTAGATCATAACAAATAATAATCTTGGAGGCAACACCATCAAAATGCTGTGATTAAATCACCTACATGTCTTATTTTCAGGTCTATTTTTTGACCCTGACATGTTGATATGGGGTGAGTAGCAGCACAAGGTAGTATCTGCGTGGTGTGTAAACCAACCACTTATTCTCCTGCCATGAGCCAAAAAGACTGTGCTGGAAGAGGAGGATTAAAGGAATATTGGTATGAAACCAAAATTCATTTCATGCTTCTTCCCCATGTTTCTGGACAGAGAAGGAACTGTCCCCTCACTCATCAAATTATGTGGGTTATATAGATAATAGGACTGAAGATTTTAGTATGGAAAGTGTTCAACCAGGATATTTCAAAGACTGAATCCTCGAGAGAAGATTCCAAGGAGGGAAAAAGAAATCCAAACAAACCCAAACTGAAAAGAACAGGAACAAGATGCCGAATATTTTTGAATTTTTTTTCACTATGAGATATGATGGAGCAAAGAGAAATCACATGAAGAAATGCACCTCAACCTGACTCCAGTTAGTTGTAGAAACCTAAAAATGAGGTTAATATTTAAGTATTAAAATCCCAGTAAAAGATCCCCTGTATTGACACAGGATATTCAGTGTGGCCATTGGCACGAAGGGTCGTTCCCCTCACATGACAGCTCTGTCACAGCCTCCCCTGTGCTTTACTTAGGTCCTTTGAGAATCCCAAAAGAAAATATTTACCAACAGGATGATGTCAAACAGCCTTATTTATCTCCCCCACCAATGTTCCCAGGACAGCAGCAGGAGTTTGACACAGGCACTGGGCAGAACAGGAGATACACCAAAGGAAGGGTCCTCAAAAATTCAAAGCCAGCT